TCCGTGCTCTATCTATTTTTGACTCGATTCCATGATAACGAAGTTCGCAGCGCAAAATTACATATGAAAAATTGGAGCTATCTTTTGCTGTTTAAATCGATTAAGACAAGCGAGAACAGCGGAAGGAGTTATACGTCGCACTTGTCTCTTAGCATGGATTGCTTCGGGTATGGGTTTTTTAAATTAACAACGGGATCCAAAAAAAAACACTCCTTCCACTCAATTTTCATCTTATTCAGTAGTATTGTGGGATCAAGGAGGAATTTCACCTTAATGAACTGAATTTCTTCTCAGTTTTGCTTCACAACTGCGAGCAAAGAAGAGGAACATATGTTCTTTTTAGATTGTTCTGATCGCCATCCAAACTGCCCGTCATGGAATCAGCAGGGAGAATGCACAAGAAATGCGAAATGGATGGCAGAAAATTGCAGAAAATCGTGTAATCGATGCGGACGGACGAGAGCAGCCACATGTGGAGGTGGCGCAGGTGGACAAGGTCTTGTTACAAAAATAATCAACTCTGTTAACTTCGACTGATACCCATATTTCAGTCGCAACGCAAGCGCCGCAACCTCAGTTTAAATGCGAGAACTCAGAGGGTTGCTACAATGAAAACGCTTGTTGCCCACATTGGGCTCTTTTCGGTGAATGCCGAAAGTCTCCTGCATGGATGGCTTGCAATTGCCGGGTGTCCTGTGGTCACTGTTTCCCAACTGACTACAATTACGGAAGTGAGAATTTTGCGGTAGAACCCATCTTTGCCAGCAAGGCGATATTAAGACTTTCAGCTTGCACCGATTATCACCGTGAATGTGCGGGTTGGGCCAGGCTAGGCGAATGCGAGAAGAATCCGTGGATGTCAGAGAACTGCAGGGCTTCTTGCAGGACATGCTACTCGCAGTGGGATCTTCGTGATATGTGCAGAGGAGCAGTAGGTAGGTCTCTTTCAAATAACCAATCGGAGATAACCCGCAAGAAGATTTCTCCAGGCTCTGTGGCTCCTGTAGCTCAGAGGCGTCCGCAGCCAAGCCGTACTCAATTCGAGCAGCGTTGGGGAAACTTTGGTGATTTCGACAATGGATGGTGGGAAGGAGGACGTAGAGGTGGACGAGGAGGTTGGGGTGGTCGACGGCCAATAGGTTGGGGTTGGGAGAGGGCAAGAAGGAACCTAAGGAACCACTTCCCTAGAAAATAATTACAAATTCACGCTACATAACAGCTATTTCCAATTAGTGCCTAATTTTTGCAATACAATTTATGAGCTGATT